TTTTCTGTGGGGAGCAAGGGTTAGTGCTTGGCTTGAGGAGCAAGGTTATTTGGTCCCCCTTTAGTGGTCCTCACCTACTCTCTCCCTCCATGTGACACTTGGAGCTTGTTGATTGCCTTGCATTTTAATTTTATTTTTATTAAAATAAAATAGAGGAAAATGCAAAACTCCCACATTTATGGAAGAAGGGAGATCAAGTCTCCATTCCCTACAAATACCCAAGTTTTGGGTTTAGGAAAAATCACTTGAGTTGAACTCAATAAGACATCTCCCTATAGGTGAGAAAACATTTGAGTTCGTAATATTCTAGTCTTTTCTTATTCTAGCCCCGACTAACCTTTGGGGTAGAAGCCGTTCGGGTTAGGTCTCGAGGGTGGACTCCGTCGGAGGCTCTCGCGCTTGCAGAGCTAAGGCTTTGAAGTCTGAGCTCTATAGGAGCGAAGCACGCGTCGAGGGTAAGAATGTCATTTCCCTTTCTCTTTCTTTTGTTGTTTAATTATGTGATTAAATGCTTAGTTACTTTAATTAGTGAGCGGGTCTTGGGCAGGTTTCACTTCCGCGTAGCGTTGGACGCTACGAAACCAAACAATAGACATATGATACCAGCACCACATCCAGTCGTTGTTGCACTTCCATCAACAAAAACTTTCTAGATCTAATCCCCTACCGGCTGTAGGTCCGACCGTGTCATTTCAGCCAAAAAATCTTCAAAGGCTTGACCCTTGATCACTTTCCTAGGTTTGAATGTAATATCAAATCCCCTTTATTCCAAGTCCCATTTTAGCATTCGGCCGTTGTCCTCTAATGTTTTGAACGACTTCTTCAACTGTTGGTCCGTGTAGACCACAATCGAATGAGCAAGAAAATATGGCCTTAGCTATTTTGATGCCATGAATAATGTCAAGACAAACTTTTCAATGGGTTGATACCTAAGCTCGGCATTGTGCAAAACATGGTTGATAAAATACACAGGGATCTGATGGCCGTCTTGCTCGGCAAGCAGGACGACACTTAAAGAGTGATTAGAAATTGCAAGATACATGTATAGCTCCTCACCTTTGAGCGGAATGATGAGCCGAGGGAGTGTATGCAAATGAATCTTTAGTTGAGAAAAGGTTTTTTTCGGCCTCTTCGGTCCACTTGAACATTGCTTTTTTCTTAATAGTTTGAAAAAAGTAGCAACACTTATCCCCTGATCTTGACAGAAACCGTCGAACAGTGGCTGAGCAGCCAATCAGTCTCTGAACTTTTTTTATGGTTCTCGGCGATTTCATGTCTAAGACCGCTAGGATCTTCTCAGGGTTGGTTTCAATGCCGCGCTGATCAATCAAAAATCCGAGACATTTGCTGGACTCAACACCAAAGACACACTTCTTCAAATTTAACATCATCATATGCCACCTGAGTTCGGTAAATGTTTCTCACAGGTCACTCAGATGGTCGGCCAGCTTTTTTTATTTAACAATCATATCATCAATATAAGCCTCCATGTTCCGGCCGATCTGATCTCTGAAGACCGTATTCACAAGTCTCTAAAATGTGGCAGGGGCATTCTTCAGACCAAATGGCATGACCTTGTAACTGTACAGCCCCTGCTTGGTCACAACTGCTATTTTTTCTTGATCTTCTTCCCACAAAGGGATTTGGTGGAAACTAGAGTATGCGTCCATAAAGCTCATCAAGGCAACCCGACCGTTGAATCAACCAGGCGATCAATTTAGGAAAAGGAAAGTTATACTTAGGGCACACCTTGTTGAGATTAGTGTAATCCACGCACATCCGCCAAGTTTCGTTCGGCTTCTTAACCAGAACTACATTGGCCACCCAGTCAAGGTAATAACATTGTCGAATGAAACTTGCGTCCAGCAACTTATTTACTTCGGCTGCGGCCGCCTGAAAGGTTGAATCGGCTCGGAATTTGAAGCTTAAGAAGCATTCTTGTGACCTGACGGGCCATAAGAAAGGTTTCTTTATCCTCCTTTACAAAGGCATAACAATTCAAAAAACGTAACCATAACTATTCAATTGAGTTCTTTCATCAGAGAATTCGGATTCCTTTCTTCACCATGATTTCTCATAAACTGTTACGCTTGCTCTTTCTTAACCGACTTACGCTTCCTTCGGACCTGGGATGCTTGAAGTGACCCTTCTTTGGAGTTTAGCTCGAACACCCTTTTGTGTCCGAGTGAAGTTGGCTTCACGGCTACCTGGTTACAGTTTTTAGCCATCACTTGGTCTCCTTTAATGGAGCCTATCTTCCCGTCCGACCGCTCAAACTTCATCATCACGAACTGATGGACAATTATAGCATTGGCTGAGTTCAAGGTCGGATAACCGATGATGATATTGTAGCCAATGAGCTCTTTGACAACCAAGAAGCAAACGACTATGTCCCTTCCTTCTCTCTTTGACCCAAACCGAACGGGCAAATCTATCCGGCCAACTGGATGGATAATGCTCCCACCAAACCCAACCAGCGGGTGGGAGATATCCTTCAGGACATCTTTCCGTTTTTTGTTTCCTTATTTCTTTTTCCCGGCCAAGTCTTGATGAGAAGACGGTTTCTTCTCACACCGTTGGCCAGCTTTTCCAACTTTGTCAGCGAACAAAAATCAGCTACCTCAATATATGATTCGGCTTCCCGCAGACCACCTGCATATGTCCGAATCCTTTTTCTGACAAATTAAACTTGAAACCATTGTGCCTTAAACCTCGAAGAAACTCCAAGTAGGCCATTTCATCCGGCAGATTCTGAATTTGTGCCTTCTCCATTTTAAACCTCTAAACGTACAAATGCAACCCTTCTTTCTTTCCTTGGACGATGGTCGCCAAGTTAAGACTAGTCTTACGGGGTGGTTTATTATAGGACAAGTTTCTAACAAACAAAAGGCTGAGAGTTGTAAAGCAATTTATGCATTCGGCCGGCAGACTGTTGAACCAGTCTTGAACCACACCCTTGAGGGTGGCCAGGAAGCATTTACACCGGGTGGCACCAGCTACACTTTGCAAGTACATCAAATTTCTGTACCAGGAAATGTGTTATTCTAGGATGCCCGTACTGTCACAAGCACTAATGAGTGACTTTTTTGTCACTCCTAGGGTAGTTTTTTGCTTTTTTTTAGCTATTCTTTCATTGTTTTATAGTTGTTTTGTTCAAATAATTTGTGCATTCATGTCTCGATGTATTTTGGATGAAATCGCGTATGTGCTTGAATGTTTGGCTTTATTGCATGTTCATACCATTTCCTTACCTTATTATTTCCCTTGGTGTTTGTGCTTAGAATTTTGAAGTCAAGAATTGCAAAGAAGAAGCCAAGCACGAGAGAAGAACCGAAAAAAGCAAGGTGTGAGGGCGCGTATGACTTGAGCACGAGCGCGCACCAGCGGAGAAGCAGCAAGGCAGCAGCAAAGGCAACTTCCATGGGGCGGTGTGGCTTTCGTGGCGCGGTAGTTGCTGACGTGTTGCGGCACCTGTGTCGTGGTGCGGCAGTTGCTGACGTGTGGCGGTGCTTGTGCCGGGTGCGGCAATTGCAGACAAGTTGCGGCACCTGTGCCGTGGCATAGCAGATTTCAATTTGCATGCGGGCGCACATACTTGTGTGCGGTCGCGCACTGGAAAGCAAATTTCAAAAGCGGAGGAAGAATGTTTGCACGAGGGTGCGCAGCTATAGTGCGTGGGCGCGTAACACAAGAGCAAAGCCACGCAACCCACAAAAGCGCGGGTGCAAATAACCCTGTGGGCGGGCGCGCACCGGGCCCCTGTTCGGCTTATTTCCGCAGCTCTATAAAAACGCGAGGCTTGTTTTGTACGAGCATAAGTTAGACTTCTTCTATTATTTTTATATCTTTTTCTCTAGTTTTAGGAGAGCTTTTCTCTCTAGGTTTAGCTTAGGATTAGAGTATTTAGAGAGAGAAAGTGAGAGATCATCAATGGTGGGATATGGAGCTTGAAGATTCAACTTATGAAAATTATTTTGGAGATCTCCTTATTAAATCAGTGAGAATTTCTTACCTTCTCTCCTCTATCTTTATTGCTTTCTTTTGATTTTGCTTTAGTTTTTAGTATTGCTTGTTAATCATGTTGATGCTTGTTAATTTGTTGATTAATCTTGTTGTTAACATGATTAGTGAGTAGTTCCCCATTAAGGGGATGATTGTGGTGTAGTTGGATCTTAAGCATGTTCGTTTTAGGATTTGGAATTGATTTTTTTGTGATAAAAATGCTTTGTTTTCTATGTCTACCAATTATTGAGTTTCAGAGGCCAATCAATTGTAGTAGTTGGGTGGATTGAACTAGGTTATGACGATAGCGTGATCTAGGAATCTCCATTGAATGATTGGCTTGAATTATACCCTGATTCACATGGTTTATGACGATAGTGTAAGCTAGGGATGAGTTAGGAAAGCAATTGACCGCGGTAGGTGGTTGGATTGTGCTTTAAATCATTGACATAAGTTACTTAGTTTGCATTTCAGTTCAATTCCATGCTTTTTTTATGCTTGAGTGAATACTATGCCTAAACCGTCTCCCTTAGTGCTTTATTTCTTGTTTTAGTATCATTAGACTTTAGATTACTTCCCCCTATCCCGAACTAGCTTAATTGTTGATAACATTTGGTGGTGTTTAATCATTCTCTGTTATTCGACCCCTATGCTTACCTTATACTTGTATTAGGTTTGTTTAGGTTTTATAAATTGTATTTGATCTAGGGATAGACAATTGATGACGCGTTTATTCCCTTCATCAAATTGGCGTCGTTGCCGGAGAACGACTTCTGTTACCGTTATGTTATTTTATTGAGACTAGTCTTTTGTGTATAATTTTCTTTTAGTTTTTTTTCTTCTTTTTTTTCTTTTTGTTTGTGTATAATACTTGAGATTTCTTGTTTAGTTGGTATTTGTTTGTCTTCATTAAGTCATGGATCACTTTGCCCAAAATGAGATGTCCTGTTCTTCTTTGCCTTAATTTGAATACGAACCCTTTTGGGTTACTTTAATAGGTTTGAAGACTTCTCTAATTCTCATGGTTGTTCCTTATGGGAGGCTTGTGAGGTCATTTATTGGGGTTTGAATGAGTATACTAGGGGAGTGATTGAAAATATGTGTAATGGTGAATTTCGAGCCAAATCTTTGGATAAAGCTTGGGGTTTCTATATGTGGTTTGCTAGGGGTAGCTATAAGCAGGATACTTATGCAAATTGTAATGATTTTTCTAGTTCTTGCAAGATTTCTAATGATGAATCTTTTGTTCCCCAAGATGAACCCATAATGCATGATGCCAACCCCCCATAATGCATGATGCCAACCCCTCCCCCTTGTATGCTAATTGTGATAAGATGCATCCCAATGTTCATAATGTTCATGATTTTTCTCAATGTTCTTCAAATGTGTGCATGGATTTCAATGACGCTCCCCATAACCCTAATCCTCACTTACATGATCTTCCCTCTACCTCTTCTTATTCTTACATGATTCCAAATGAGTTTCCCTATGTATCTAATGAACATTTTCGTGAGGGTGATTCAATGGGACATGGAGAGGACGGAGAGTTAATGAAGAAGCTTAACGAGATGATGAGAAGGGAAATGGAACATAAGGAGAAGATGAAAGCTAGGTTAGAGGTACTTGAGAGCAAATGCCCTTCCTTCTTCTTCCCCCTCCCATATGAGTGAACCCAATAAGGCTTTTGAGTGCAAGGTTGAGGATGATTATGATGACTATGTGAACGCGATAGAGGGTTTATGGAGGATGATTCATTTGATGAAATTTTGAAAACCACCCCCTTTATCCAACTTGTCCCTCAACCCTCTTCGCAACCCGTTGAAGATCCCATTTTAGTAGACCTAAAAACTAATTTGAAGTTGCTAAGAGAAAAGACGGGTTATGGTGATGATGAGATACTCATGTTTGATCATGTTGAGTTGGGGAATGTTGAGAATGAAAATCATGCTCTTGTTGAGAGTGAAGAATCCCAATTGGTGATTGAGGACATTTTCAAACTTTTTGAGGTTATTAGTGAAGATGTTTTAGAAGGAAATTCATTGGATGAGAAGACTTGTGTTTTAATGCAAGGTTGTGTGATTGAAGTTGTGAGTGAGGTACTCATTCCAAGTCCTTCAACCTACACCCCTTTTTCAAGAAAGCTTGCCAACATTCCTTCTTTCTCAAAGATCCACCGATTGAGGAACCCCTTATCTCTCCAGCTCCCATGACCTATCTTTTGAACTCAACGATGGGAATTCATCTAAGCAAAAAAAAAATGAGTTTGCTTTCCCCTTCCCCTTTTCTAGTTCTACTTTTGATTTTTCTTCTTCCCATATTCTTGATTTTTCTTTTGATTCTTGTACTTTTTCTTTTCTCCCTTCTCTCAAGCATAAAGTCTTGTACTTTATGCTTTCTTGTCATATGAGCATCGCATATGCTCTTTTTCCTGATATGTTTGCCGGTGCATATGACAAGCTTCGGGTTATTTACTAGATTGGTCATGCTTGGACGTTAAGCAAGCCTTTCTCGGGAAGTAACCCGTGTTTTATCGATTCATTTTCTTTTCTTTTTAGTATAGATTTTCTCTCATGAAAATGTTTGTGTGCCTTGTCCTAGGTACATAACTTGATATACTCTTATGCATTGGCATCAGATCAAGAATCAAGGAGGTTTGATACCACATTTGCTAGCATTTGGCATACAAGGCACAGCTTTGGAGGAAATTGGCCAGCTTTGAAAGGTTCTATTGGCTCATTTTTGCGGGTTTTATACCCACCTATATCTGGTAATATCTTTCCTTACTCTTTCTCTAATGGTTGGTGACTTGTTGGACATGTGTTGGTAATGTTGGATTTATTTCTTCCTTTTCCCCTCCCATGGATTCTTCAGTTTATGTTTGAGCATGTTGTCTCATTCAAGCTTGGGGGAGGGCATTCTATCATATTTGGTGGAATGATGATTCATATATGCCATGCACAATTGTATGTGCATTTTCATGTTCTTGCTTTTGGAAAAACCAAAAAGAATTTTGTTTCATTCAAGGCAAGTTTGGCAAAAGTGTGTTTTGTTTGTTCTTATTTTGGACATTTCTTGATTGGACTTGTGTTCTTAAATGTGTACCTTCCTATGTGGTAAATATTTGCACGTTTTGAGAATGTTATTGGTTGATTCTAGGATACCATATGCTAAGGTACCGGGTTTAAGAACTTTACGGTCCATGAAGCCTTAGTTTATTAAATGTGGTAAGATGGTGTTGCTCTTCGTTGTGAATTTGAAGCCCTTAAGTTGGTATTTGTTAAACAAATCCCGTGTGAGGTACTTTTGTTCAAGCCTTCATCACCTTTGTTGAGTGGCACTTTGGATCCTTAGTTATGCATGTCTTGATCTTTGGTTTGACTTCTAGCTTCCCAAGACCATGACCGAGCCACTTTAGGGGAGGAAAAATGCACTTTTCATTTTCTTTTATGTTCCTTTTTTTTTTGTTACTTTCTTGTTTTCATTTGCATTCACCCTCTTGCTACCCTTTTGAGCTTATTTCTTTTCTTGATCACTAGCCTCATTACAAGCCCTACGACCTTAACCCTTGGTTTTGTGGAGCAAATTTTGGTTGGATGCTTGTGTTGACGATCTAGTAAAAACATATTTGTTTAAGTTCAAAAATGTATGGCAAGATTGAGACTTGTGCTTATAGTTATTTAGCAAATGCATCAAGAAAAGAAAAAATAAATAAAAAAAAAGGAGCAAGAAAAAGGAAAGATGAGAGAAGTGCATACAATAGTAAAAATAAAAAATAATAAAAAAAGAAGAAAAAAAATTTTGAAAAAAAAAAATGCAATAAAACCAATTTTAGTTATGATCGGTTCTCCTTAGCTTAAGCATTGAGGAAAATGCTCCGTTTAAGCTTGGGGGAGTGGTTCTTAGTTTTGTTTTTAGAGTGTTTGTTGAATAAGCTTGGGGGAGATGATATTTTGGCATTTTTGTTTGATGTTTTGGTGACTTCTTAAGTGTTTTTTTTTTAAGAGTAGGCCACTATTTTGCTTCACTTAGAAAATACCACCAAATTTTCAAATTTTTGCCCCACCTAGCTTATACCCTAAGCCATAACATGACAACCAATAAAAGACCTTTACACCCTAGAGGGGTTGAGTCAAAACCGGTGGAGAGAGATAGATTTCAAGCCTATGGAGAGAGTGTGCATAGCTAAGAAGTCGAGATACTTTCTCATGCTTTTCATTCATATTATTTTTCCGGTTCCTTCGAGGATTCATGAGAAGCTAGCCTGGGGGTTGATTTGAAACTAGTGGAGAGAACGCGGAAGTATGGTTAGAACGAGGGTGGATTGTGTTGGGTTTTGTAGAGTCCGACTCTACGCGAAAGAGAAACCCGCCCAAGACCCGCCCACTAATTAAGGAAACTAAGCATGCAATCACAAATTAAACAACAATTAAGAGAGATAAGGAAAAGACATTCATACCCTTGGTGCGTGCTTCGCTCGATCCCGAGCTCTTACTTTAAAAACCCGAACCCTGCAAATGTGAAGGTCTCCAATGGCTCGTACCCACAAACCCGACCCGAACGGTCCTAGTCCCGAAGGTTAGTCGGGACTTGACCAACAAAAACTAGAGTTTTACGAACTTAGGGTTTTCTCACTTTTCTAAGGAGATGCCTTTTTAGTTCCACTCAAGTGTTCTTCCCAAATCCCAAAAGTTGGGTATTTATAGGGAAATGAGCCTTGATTTCCCATTCTCAATCAATGTGGGAGATTTGCAATTTCCCTATTTTATTTTAATCAAAACAAAATAAAATTGCAATTCATTCAATAAGTTACAAGTGGCAATGGGAGGAGAGGGAAAAGGTGAGGACCACCAAGGGAGATGACCAACCCACCTTGCTCCCCAAGGCAAAGACCAACCATTGGTCCCCACACAAGAAACCAGACCACTCCTCCATGTGGCTGACTGGCAGCTTGCCTTGGCTGCCAAGGTTGCCAGCTGGCGCCTAGCACCAAGGCTCGGCAGCCCAGCCAGCTAGCTAGCACACACACACAACCAGCCCGAAATGCATGCGCAGCCAGCCCGCACAAGGCCAGCCAGCACGCATGCCTCGCTGCTGCTTGGTGCGTGGTGCTGGGCGCTGTTATGCGAGGCTGCTGCCTACTAGCACACACGCACAGCCCAGCATGCCTTGCACGCTGCTGGTTAGTGTGTGGTGATGTGCGATGTGCAAGGCTGTTGCTAGCAATGCGCCAGGCCCTAGCATGTTAGCAAGCACGCATAGCCCAGCATGCTTCTACCATGTGCGATGCTTGCAGCTAGCGATAGTTGGGTGCTTGGCCTAGCATGCTAGCAAGCACGCTGCTAGCACGTAATGCATGCTAGGCTTGCGGCTAGCATTGCGATGCTTGTGGTTGTGCTAGGCCATGCTTAGCACGATGCGATGGCTACGCCTAGCCACGTATGCACAGCCACACCACACGCATGCATGCATCTTGCGATGCTTGTGCCATGCGATGTGCGTGTGCTAGGGGATGTTAGGCACGCATTGCTTGGAACCTTGCCTAGCCTAGCACTAACATGGCTAGGCCAATGCGAGGCTACGGCTAGGCTCGAACTTGTTACTTGATTTATTTCACGTCTCGTCGAATTATAAATTCGACTCGACTTGCGTCGCTCGGTCTCGACGCTTTAAGCTCGATATTCGACGTCTTTGTTCGTAATACTCTGATGACTCATTAAAACCTTCAGATTGATTCATCGTCTCGGATCGGTTGTTCGATTGGGTTCGACCCAAAGGTTTCAATCAAGATTAAGCTGTAATATTAATTGTACATCAATATTACTGATCGAAAGCGGCCTCCACCTAGGCATTCTGATCACTTGACCTTATTGAAGAATTAGCTTTCTAATAACTATGAACCCTCTAGTGGAATAATACACTTTTTGGAAGGACACCATTCCTTTCAGATTGAGTCTCTTTGAGTTCTCTATTCTTAGCATATTTTATGTTTCAATCAACCATTGACATCTTGGAATGTGCATACATTTGTCTATTTAGAAAGTTTCACATTCATTTGTGCTTGTTCCTATCTCTTTGTCCATTTGAGTTCATTAGTTTTCTTTTCTCTTTCTTTGTTTTTATTTGCCTTGCCTTGCTTTGGTTGTTAGAGTTATGGGTCAAACTCTTAGGAAACCCTTACGAGACCTCACTCGTCCTCATAGGCGACTTTGGGGTTTTAAGGACTTGTTGTAGCTAAAAACAACCGTGATTCCTACGACAGTGAGTTAGTGTACATTCCTTCTCTTTCTTTC